GCTCTAGTAAGTTTGATAAGTTGGAATCCTTAGTGTTAGAGAAGCGCATTGTTCTTGATTGTGCCATGTTTGATTCAATTTTCCAGTATAAGTGTTCTGGTTTTCCCATGCTTTTCAAAAATTTCTGGCCTGATAATTTTGAAATCACTTTTGATCAAGCAAAACGGTGTATTGTTGAGTGTCCATCTGAATCTCTCCCAAACTAGTTAGGTCCAAGTGATGTTAGCTTTGAAACTCGTGTTCTAGCCCACATTGTTGCAACTACTCTGCTTCCTCGTACTGGCTCTTTCTCCACCTTCTCTCAAAGAGATACCTTTCTTGTTTATTGCCTTGTCACAAAACTCAAGATCAAACTGTCCTCCTGGGTCATCAATTTTATGATTGAAAGTGCTGATGATCCCACCAGTTTGCCTTATGGCATGGCCATCACTCACATTCTAGAAGCTTATAATATTTCCACCTCTGAATATCCCTTCATCTCTGTTTCAAAATCTTACATTTCCAGAGCGTTTGCGAGTATGGGTATATGTGTGTGAAGGGCTCATGGGTTAAGAAACAAGAAGGTGAGGTCAAACATGCTCAACCTGATCCAAAATCCAAACCCTCTGTTTCCCATCATAGTCCCAGTGTCCTTGACCTTGCTGAGAAACTAGTTGCCATTGACAATCAGCTGTCCGCCATCAAAGATATTCTTACTGCTACTCAGTCTACTGTTGGAGATATTCATGCAATCTCCAAAGAGACAGGGTCTGATGTTTCAAAGATAAGAGTTGCAGTTCTCAAAGTTAGGGAAAATGCAATCAAGGCATTCAAGGAGGTACACGACAGGCTTGATGGAGTGACTCAGCCAATGCCAGCTTTGATCAACTGAAGGAGGCGATTTGCAACACTCTTACTTATTTCTTGTGTCGTTAATGTGGAAGTTTTAGACAATATTTTTTTGTTGTGCTGTTTTGGACTGGATAACCAGTCGTTGGATAATTTGGACGTTTAGACAATATATTTTGTTTTGCCATAACTCTGCAAGCATATCATGCTATAAATCGTATTTTAGTATATAGTGTGTTGTTATCTTATCCCCTCTTTGCTTATGTCAAAATGGGGGAGAAAGGATATATGTATATTCGTGCAGGTACATCCATTGCAGGGGAAGTCGACTATAGATACTACAGGAGAAGCTGACTAAAAGAAGTCCCAACGGCACCTCTTGAGGGGGAGTCAGAGATCCTGCAGAAGTAGTCGCCTAAAGGAAGTAGTCTCAACAGCACCTATTGAGGGGGAGTCAACTGCACTCATTGAGGGGGAGTAAAATACAGGGAAGTCAACTGATGTTTACATATATTATTTTGTCATCACCAAAAAGGGGGAGATTGTTAGGTTTTAGTTTTAATAATGAAAAATAATATAATTATTTTTGGTATAGGGACTCAAGGAAAACATCCGAGATCGAAGAAATCAAAAGGAAGGAATCAATCAAACAATTAAAGATCCGGCAAGGAAATCAATCAGAGATTGATTGAAACGGAAAAGAAGCATCGAAGATCTTGCAAGATGATCAATCAAGCTGCTATTACTAGAAGGACCAAAAATCAAGGAGAAAATCCGGCGCTATCAAGACCTGTAGAAGGATAGCTATTAAAGTTCTCTCATCAAGGAAGAGCAACGGCAAATAACCTTATTCTTGGAACGAATCAATTTCTTTCCAAGGATCAAATCTCTTGGGTTGGCAAATCTCTTCAGCAACGGCCTCCTACAAAGTATTTATACACATCCTTAAGCCTTAGACAGATATACTTTGATCGAACCAAATACCCTCTCTTTGTTCTACTGCAAACAAACATTGTAGCTTTACTTGTGTAACAAGTTAGAGAAGAAAGAGAGAAAAATACTGGTGAGGCATTGTATCAAAAGAAACGAGTGACATAGAAACTGAGCCATTGGTGTAAACCACACCATTCACCTTGTACTCGAGAAACTCATTCACTGAAAGAAAACTCCCTTGCAAGCCAAGGGGACTGGACTAGGATTCACCTTGATTCCGAACCAGTATAAAAATTCTGGTGTCTTTAATTCTTGCACTTTATTTCTGCATCTTAAATTGTGCTCTTATTATTATCTCGTTATTACATCTAGTTGACTAATTAGAAAATTGGTCTAACTTGTAGTAATTTAGATCAAACACCTAACATGACCCCTATGTCTCAGTTTATTTTCCAAGATCGCCATTGCAGTTGCAGTGGTAAAGCACTATACACAGCCACTCACCCCAAAGTAAAAGAAGAAAAAATAGAAGAAAAAATAAGTTAAAAAAACATCTATGGATGGAAAGTGAAAGAGGAGCTGATCCTCAACGGTTCGTCTCCCGCGGTTTGCACTCCCAGTCAATCAAATCCCATGTAAACCCGCCAACTTCGTATTTCATTGAACCTGTATGTACTTACCATACTACCCTTCCCCTTCCCCCACAACGTGTAACACACACGTGAATAACAAGGGCATTACAGTAAAATCACTGCATTGTCCGTTATCCGACAAGACCCCATAGAATATAGCTGGACTTATATCTTTCTTCAACTTCTTTTATGGCGATTTAGATTCTAAATTATAGTAACTCCTTAATATATGAGCTTCTCCTAAACTCGAGATTACGTTCTTTTCTCCTTCATATTTAAAGGTTTCTTTTTTCTTTGTCCTAACACAGTAGTTTGTTTTTTATTTTATTTTCATTCTTCTTATCAGTTTTCTATGTTGATTCTTGCGTGACTTGAAATGCATTTGGATCATAATAATTGTATCCTTGTAATTATAATATTGTAACCTCCTAGGTGCATTGGGGACCTGAGAGGCTGTGGTTTACCCTACGACGGATGTCAGTGGTTTGAGTCCGCTTATCTCCAGCTCGTGAACTTAGCCGATAGAAGAAAATCAAAATGTTGGACTCATGGAAGAGAAACAAGTTTTGCTCCAAATGGTAAGAGTGGCAATTCTGCAGGGGTTAATTCTCTGTTTGATTTTCAATGTAAGAAAGATACTTTTTCTTTCCCTATTAATTGTTGTCATATTCTTTTGGGGATGATCTCTGGTACAGCAAGTCTACAATCAAGCAGATGAAAACTCGAATTGAGATGGTGAGGAAGAAGAGAAATGCAATGCAGAAATACTTGAAGAATGATATGGCTGACCTTCTTAAATCTGGATTGGATGTCAATGCCTACGACAGGGTAATTTTCTTTTGCTTGTTTTCATATCTTGAAAATTTTGACTGGTTGCAAATTGCAACAGATCATCCCAAATATTCCCATTCTTCTAAGGAGTATCATTTATTCTAATGTGGACTTTAGAGCTCAGTATTTTCATCAAATTCATACTACTTCAATTTCTGGCCTTTTGTATGCTATAAAGTAAAACTGTACTTTTCTCCTTGTAAAGTCTGCTTATTTTGTTTTACTGCAACAGACTGAAGGCCTTCTAGTTGAGCTGAATCTTTTGAGCTGTTACGATTTCTTGGAGCAATATTGTGACCATATTTTTTGTCACCTTGAAACCATGATTCAACAGAGGTAACTTGGACATTATTTTATTGGTGTTTCATTAGAATAGAAGACATAAATGGTTAATTATATTGTGTGTACCGAAGAAGGGGAGCCTTGGAGCAACGTGTAAAGTTGTCTCTAGTAGGCTGTCAATATCATATATTCCTTGGCGTGCGGCCTTTCCCAAAACCTACGTGAATGCAGGATGCCTTGTGCACCGGGATGCCCTTTTATATTGTATGTACTAAAGACAAATTAATATGCTATCCATCTTTTAGGGAATAACAGAAAATTTTGAATCATCTCTCAAGACAGGATCAGATAATGATTGAGCTTCAACAAGATATATCGGCGACTTCAAACAATTCAAATCGTAGAGTTCGAGCCCCTCTGGACGTGCCTATAAGTCAAACGGTTGTA